GTGATTACTGCAGGGAGACGTCGGATATGGAGGATGCAGGCCTAACTAATGCAACGTCTAGGAAGTTACTAACTGCCGTAAAGCTTGATGGCTGTTGCTGGTATTGCCCTGGCTGCATAGTCAAGGTGAATGAAGCGATTGCAATCCATAAGGGAACGAGTTCTCTAGGGACGAAAATAGATGAAGCAGGAGCCCTGCTGGTTGACAAACTGGAGCAAGTTGAGAAAGAGATCCTTGCTAAGACTGAGGAAGTAGCTAATAGAATGGAGGTGGTTGCTAAGAGGAGCTATGCGGACGTATTAGGAGGGCCACGGGTGGGGGGGGCGGAGAGTAATGCAGAATCAGTACAGGTTCTACAGCAGATTGGGACTCTGAAAAAGTGTGTCGAAGAAATGAAAATTAACGGACCTACTGTTAGGGGAGAGGAGGAACACCAGGAACGGCTCCAGCGCAGGAACAATGTAATAGTTTTTGGAGTCCCAGAGAGCCAGGCAGAGGGAACTGTGAGTAAGGAAACACACGACAAGGTGCTGTTTCAAAATATTTGCACAGAGGTTCTGAAGATTCCAGCAACCCCTCAGGATGTGAGGAGACTGGGACAAAAGCAGGGGGCTAAGCCTCGCCCCCTCAGGATCACATTAGGGAGTGAGGAGGAAAAATGGCAAGTTATCCGGCAGGCAAAAAACTTAGCAAGGAGCGAGGCATTTCGAGATGTATTTATTCACCCAGACCGCACGGTAATGCAGAGGGAACAGCACAAGAAGCTCCTGCTGGACTTGAAGCAGAGGAGGGAGGAGTCGAGAAGGAACGGGGACAGGTGCACATGGGTTATACTCAGGGGGAGGGTAGTGGAAACAAGTGTGCCGACACAGGGCCAGGGGGCAGCAGTGCACCCTCCACCCACTCAACCCCCCACCCGGGAGGCGGCACCAGCTCAGCCTACCGGACAGGAGGGAACGAGCGCCGTGTAAACAACGAAATTTTTAACCACACCCTGCAAAATACAGTGTACTTAGCAAATGCTGCAGCTTCTGAGAATGTGGGTGGAGCGGGTTTATTACTAAGAGCAGAGACGTTACCGAGAACAAATTCTGGCTTGAATGTCATGTACACTAATACCGACACGTTCCTTGATAAGAGGGAGGAGTTTGAAACACTACTAAGAGTACACCAACCAGATATTGTAGGAGTTGTAGAACTGTTGTACAAGAACAGGAGAATCGACCCAGAGGAATGTGAGTTCAGTATTGCTGGATATGACTCATTTACGAACCTAACTCAAGAATCCTGCAGGAGGGGTGTGGTTATCTACGCTAGGCAAGACCTTAGAGCCAGCCAGGCGAGGGTACAGGGAGAGGATGTTTTTGAAGAGTCCAAGTGGTGTAAAATTAAATTAAAGGGAGGGGACTTACTTATCGTCGGGTGTATCTACAGATCCCCGAACTGTGGCCCACTAAATCAAAGGAACTTAAGAACCTTAATAAACAATGCGGCGATGCTCAACCCCAGCCACCTCCTTATCATGGGGGACTTTAACTATGGCGACATCGACTGGAGAAACGAGTCAACCCCGAATGACTTGAATAATCCTGCTACTCTTTTTGTAGAAACTCTGAGAGATAATTTTCTGTTCCAACATGTGAGAGACCCGACACATTACAGAGGGGAACAAACACCCAAGCCACTTGACCTCATCATAACAAACGAGGAGGGTATGGTGGCCAAACTGGAACACCTTGCCCCAGTTGGCACCAGTCACCATACAGTGTTGTCATTCAGATTTAACTGTTACCTAGTTCAAGATAAGGCCAGGCCAAGGTGCAAATATTACAAGGGAAATTACAATGGGATGAGGGAAGAGATGAGGGGTATCAACTGGCCTGACTTATTAAGGTACAAGAACGCAGACACTACGCTGAATATCATAACTAGTAAAATGACCCATTTGATCGATAAATATATACCCAAGACCAAACCCAGTGCTTCTAGGAATACGAGGGGATCCCTACACATGAACCATGCGGCGGTCGACAAAATTAAGAAGAAAACCCAGAAATTCAAGACGTGGGTTGGGTCAAACGATGAGCAAGACAGGAGGATGTATGCAAGAGCCAGAAACCAAGCAAAGATAGAGTGTAGGAGGGCTGAAAAGGAGTTCCAAAGGCTGGTTGCACGCGAGGTCAAGTCAAACCCAAAGGCGTTTTACCGCTATGCAAAGTCGAAATTGAAAACGCGAGTAGGAGTATCAGACCTGAGGCTTGAAGATGGTAGTTACGCAGATTCTGACCAGGATAAAGCTGAGGCATTGAACAGCTTCTTTTCCTCAGTGTTCACAAGAGAGGATGCAACTAACCTTCCTGCGTTTGAGGACAGACGGTTCGACACAGCACTGACCCACATTGTGTTCACAGAAGAGGGTATTAGAAATAAACTGTCCAGGCTAAAGGTCCATAAGAGTCCTGGACCTGACATGGTGCATCCTAGAGTGCTAAGGGAGCTGTGCAACGAGCTTGCAGAGCCCCTGAAGATTCTGTTTTGTAAATGCCTGGATGAACAAATGGTCCCCAGTGAATGGAAAGTGGCTTATGTGAGTCCTATCTTCAAGAAGGGCGATAGGCACTCCACGAACAACTATAGACCGGTGAGCCTGACCAGCATAATATGTAAAGTACTTGAGAGTATTATCAGAGATGCAGCGATGGAACATCTACTACGAAACAACCTTGTAAAAGATTGCCAACACGGTTTTATGCCGGGGCGCTCTTGCTTGACACAATTGCTCAAGGTATTGGATATTTGGACCCATATTCTAGAACGGGGTGGTAATATCGACAATATTTACCTAGATTTTGCCAAGGCTTTCGACAGTGTACCCCACGAAAGGCTGAAAATCAAACTGGAAGGGTACGGAATTCGGGGAAATGTCCTAGCGTGGATAGAAGACTTTCTACATGACCGCAAGCAATGTGTGGTGATTAATGGCACGAAATCGTCATCTGTACCTGTAACAAGTGGGGTACCGCAGGGTAGTGTATTGGGCCCGCTGTTGTTTGTTTGTTTCATAAATGATATGCCTGACGTTGTACACTCCTCCATACAAATGTTTGCCGATGATGGCAAGTTATTTCGGGAAATTAAGAACCAAGCGGACTGTGAAGAGCTGCAGAAGGACCTCTGTGGGCTCCAGGAATGGTCGAAGGAATGGCTGCTGAGATTCAATGTCACGAAGTGTAAGAGGATGCACCTGGGGCGTACCAACGGTAAGGAGGCGTACCATATGTCCCAACGGGATGAAGAAAATGTACTAGTTGAGACTGTGTGTGAGAAGGACCTAGGTGTGTATGTTGACAATGAGCTGAAGTTCTCGGGCCATTGTGAGAAGAAGGTAAATCAGGCAAATAAATTATTGGGTCTTATAAGAAGGTCGTTCAGATATCTAGACGGTCCGTCCCTCGTGACGATCTTCAGGAGTGAAGTGCTTCCCCATCTGGAGTACTGTCACCCCATCTGGTCCCCGAGATATGCTAGGGACTGTCAGTTGGTTGAAAATGTTCAAAGGAGGGCCACCAAGCTGGTGCCTGCACTTCGGCATCTCAGCTACCCTGCGAGATTGGAGCGCCTGAACTTGCCTAGCTTATACTACAGACGGGCAAGGGGGGACCTAGTTGAGGTTTATAAGCATCTCAGGGGGCACTACTCAGTTGAGTGTCCTTACTTGGAGCTGGCGGACGCTCGCCCCACAAGGGGTCACAGCTCAAGATTGAAGAAGCCGCAAGTCCGGAAAACCGTGAGGGCAAACTTTTTCGGAGTGAGGGTTGTAAACTCTTGGAACAATCTACCAGAAAGTGTTGTGACGGCACCGAGTGTGAGCTCTTTCAAGAGAAGACTTGACCAACACTGGAGCGGGTTCAGGTACATTCAGGAGCCGGTGCATGCCCAGTATTTGCCAACAGTGCGTGACAGAGACGTGACCGATCGCCCGGGCGGCTAGCGAGCCGACCTTTTGGTGAAGAATATAAAGGAAAAGAGTCGTGACCGATCGCCCAAGCGGCTAACAAGCCGATCAGTGGCGAAGAGGATAAAAGTAAAAAAAGTAAAAGACCAACACTGGAGCAGGTTCAGGTACAGTCAGGAGCCGGTGCATGCCCAGTACTTGCCAACAGTGCGTGACAGAGACCTGGCCGATCGCCCGGGCGGCTAACGAGCCGATCAGTGGCGAAGAGGATAAAACAAACAAGGTGTTTAGTCAATTAAGTGTTGGTTCAGTACAGACAGTACCGGATTTAGACCTGTGGAGGCCCATGGGCAGCCTCTTTGTGGAGGCCCCCCTCACTATAACTACCCAAGAGGGTGGGGTGGCGAGTTCCAGGGGACGCTGTAAGCCCCTGGGAAAATTTTGAAATTTGAACACTTCTTTGGAGAATTTTGAAGCCATATGCAGTTATATTGAGGAAATTGGAACATTGAGAATTTTTTAATTAACTGTATATTTATTGATAGTGTACAAATTCCCAACACACACACACACACACACAAAAGTGAGACATGACTGGAGTCATTAATGTGGTTTCAAGTGGACCAGCCCTGATATAGCTGCTACCACACATGTGGAGGCCCCTGGGCAGCTGCCCACTTTGCCCACTCCTGAATCCGGACCTGAGTGCAAAATAATACATATTCGTAGGAAATAGATTTTTTAATTTACTTTACAAGTAGCAAGTAAACAGGAGTCTCTACAACAGTAATAAATGAAGCCGTTGAAATGTGTCTGGGAAGAATGAACTATGGAACAAAAATACTGCACACTGAAGTTGAAAATGTTGAGTTGGTCATTATTGCTGTATTCATACACACACATAGTTCAACAATTATAATTATGCGAAGCAGTGGAGGCAACTGCTTATTTACTGATTCTGAAGATCTTTGCACAATACTCGCTCATCTTTTACAAAATGTCTTCATGCACAGTACAGTACAGTGGCCATCATCATACATGACAGGTTCGTTATTCATGGTCATCGTGTACGACGTTAGCTGTCACAGTACGATGATGAACAGTTGTGTACGATAACAGTGGTTGTGACAGGTGAGTCCATAGTCACCAAACACTTTACTATTACCTGAGCTTATGACAGTCTGTAATACATGTCATAACTTTGTAGATCCATCCAGAGTGTGTTGTTGTTGTTCACTCTTTATAATATGTCTTATTGTTTAGTTAGTGAGTCATTAATTGATTTACCAGATGAGTGTTGGAGGCTTCATAGTCATTCATCTTCACTATAACCTAACACTTGGAGTAGAGCTAAACAACTTTTTATTTTAAACTAAATGTTATTTTTTCTACCTTCCATTTCTTCTATATTTGACATAAAATTAAAAATCAAATCACATATAGACGTGGGAAGAGAATGTATTGGGTTCAAATGACTAATTATTGACCATTTTCAGGTAATAGTGAGGGACAGTATCACACATTAACCTAGAAATTGAGAATATAAATGCTTTCTTACCTTATGAAAATCCCCTAAAATGACGAGGATTTATGCATATTACAGTACAGGCATCCCTTGGTTTGGCTGCCGAGGATTGACGTTGAATGACAGGAACGGAACCTTCACTCGAGGGACGGCCTGTGCAGTATTACCTCGCCCTTTTATGTGTACTGTACCTGCACTGTCTCTGTGAATATGATGAAATAATAAGAACACTGTGGTATTAGGCTTTACCTCTGCCTTTAATTAACAGATGACAAGTATTGGCTTCTACTGGACTGTGAAGGGATAAGGTGTGGCACTTGGGTGTGGGTGTACTGTAGATTGATGTGTCCATATCTTATATTTATTCCCTGGTGGTGATGACCATTAGCTGGAATTTGCACTTGATAATATTTAAGTTGTCTACTTCTTGGGGAAAATAATTGAGGGATGAACTTATGGTCTCAGTTTCATGGTTTGTGACAGACTATTTAGGAGACATCCAACTGTTGATAGGTACAGTAAACACCTTAAATGAACACCGGTACTTGGCTTTATCAGACCCAAAGCTTAGGAAAAAAGTGGTAATGCAGAAATGATTTGGTTAAGTGGCAATTTGGTCATTGTATGCCTCCAACGTGTGCACTGTCGAGGTACACAAATGCTGTAGGGGGGTTTTGGGGTCATGCTTCTCCAGAAAATATTTGAAAAATTGGAGTATTTTCCTGCAGTCTGGGGATATTTAAAGAGAAGTTCTAACATTTTCCCCTCTACCTTGAGGCTGATAATACTGTACATGTTTTGATAGATAAGAAACAAATAGCTGGTATACTTGAGTGAGGTTATCAGCTGATTATCTGTTTGAGCATCACTAATAAGCTGATGCATGATTGTATGTGGGCATTTGAGTGGACTACACTATGGTGATAGTTAGTTTACTACAGTCGTTACAAAAGGTATGGGCGGAGCTTTTGAGGGGCAGTGCAGTCCTCCACCCGTGTTGGGGAGTAAGATAGCTAGTGATAGTGCTGGCCCCTCGGCTTCCTTGTGTACCAGAGGTTAGGATTATATCAATACTGTACAGGTGCAGTACATAGCATCCTGTGGGTCCCATGTTCAGTTTCAGGTGTACAGTGTAAGAATTCTTCTCACAAGATACTGACTTATTTGAGTTTTATTTATTGAGTGAATAGTGTCACATAACTTAAACTCTTGTGATAGCAAGTGTATTACAGTATATCATTAATAATAATAAAGTTTGATGTGTTGTGAAGGAATACCTTGTACACTCTTAATTTTGGATCTATGTTATCATGACACCATTGAAGGGGTTAATGGGTTAGTCTCGGAGTATCTCACAGGGATTGTTGGTGCAACTCACACCTTGTAGGGGACACATTCATCACTATTTCTTTCATATTTTATTGGGTTTCCATTTTCCTCACTAGACTTGTATCCTGTGAATTAAAAACAGGTGTGAAGATTCCATCAAAAACATGGGTCAATAGTTATAGTGAAAATCATATACCAGCATTGAAATTAATAAAAAAAAAAATTCATAATCTTGAAGAAAAAACAAGAAAAGTACTGATTACATTAGACTAGGTTAGGTTACCTGCTGATTCTGTTACCTAGATGAGTGCTTTATTATTATTGATCACATGACCCATTTTCCACTGAGGGTCAAGGTACTGTACAGTACTAGTACAGAACAGTACAGGATTGATAAAATGCTGGACCTGGTGAATAATTGAAGCACACTATACTGTACTGTACTACAGTATAATAAACATTATATAATAAAGTTATTATAGATAAATACATTTTCATGCTTTAAAATTTAAGTTAAAATGGAATTCACAGTAAACATTAACTTTTTTACAGTGCCTAATTGAAGATGATCTTCAAGTGAGTGAGAAGTGGGCAAAATAATGTCACGCAGGGACACAGGTTCCCTGCGAGGAGGAGGAGGTGGAGGAGGAGGAGATGGGTCAGAATCCCAAGTCTCCTCCCCAAGTGAGGACTGCAAATTTGTCAATTCAGCACATCCAGAGGCTGTAAGTTTTTTCTAGTTAAATAATCTTCTTTACAGATTTTGATAGCCTTTCATCAGTCCAAGGAGACTCTTTGTGTGTACACATTAAGCCAGTGGGTTAAGACTCGGACAAACCAATAACATCAATGGCGAGCACTAAGTAAACTGGATGGGAAGGTCTGTGTTTGCAAATGACCGTAGCATTAAGTCCTTAATCCCTTGTGTACAGAGGCCCCCTTCTGAGTTGAATAAAATTTGTCTGGCATTAGCCAAATAAGATATTAAAAGTGACGTCTCTGTAGTGAAGAGGTCAAAGGATAAATCTCTGCCTCCCAAACCTCTCTCTGAGAGAGAGAGTTATGCCAGGAATGTTGCCTTTGTTGTTTACATTAGTGCCAGCCATCAGTGTCGCATTATTCTGGGTCAATACCATAGATGAGTTCCTTGTCCTGACTTGACTGTAAAATAATTTTTTTAAGGATACAGTAACCCTTGATTTTTAGGTGTGATGGTAGAATTATTATTATTAATATTGCTTCCCTCTGCATATCCAAGGAGCATTTTGATTTGTATCTTTTCATCTTTGTAACTTACTCAGTCAGATTTTTTGCAGGATTACACAAAAATAATTTTGATTAGAGGAAAAAATTATAAATTCATTTTGTGCTTCCTTAAATTGACTTATAAATGTTTTAAGCTGTTTAATTGTTTTTTATGTAACAACATAATTATATCAATATGTGTTTTATATACAGTAATACAGTACCCCAATTTACGAGGTCAATTGAACCTGCGGAGGTCCGCGTAAAACAAGAAACGTGTAATTGGAATAACAACATATGGGATTAATTGAAATAGAGACTGCCGACCCCCAAACTCCACTTTTTCCGACACAATACCTATGTTGTAGTAAAAATAACATCTTAATTTTATGATGGTATGCACACACAATTAATATTTATGAGAAATACAGTCGCCAGGTTAATGTCCATTCAAATAATGGACTCAACTCCCCCCCCCCCCTTCTTCCCATGCTCGCTGGCTCCTCCCTCTCTGAGAAATGTTTGGGTGAAAACACTAGATTTTAAGGTATGGTAACAAATAATACCTCAGACTAAAGTTAGGATAATATAATTGACATTACTGGATTCCTTGCAAGACCAGGAATATTTTGAATATACACGTCATATATTTTGCACAAAAGATAACATATTTGCTCTGTGTAAACAAATTCTTACATTAGATCTAAAATTTGTATGTCTAATGCAAAATCTATGATGTTTATATTCAAAATGATCATCATATTGTAAGAATTCCAGCAATGTAAATTATATTCTGGCTGGGTAATTTGTATGAATTTTATGAGCTAAAACAAATATCTTCAGTAAATAAACAAATTATACTTCGCCCGCGTAAATGAGTAAATTCACCGCGTAAATCGGGCTTCCCGGTTCTGGCAAGGTGCCGCGTAAATGACCAAACGTGTAAATGACCAAACACGTAAATGAGAACCGCGTAAATCGAGGTTCAACTGTATTGTTGTTTTCCCATTAGTTTATGTACGTATTTGCATTTGGCAATTTGAATTTGGCGCAACTTTTCCAGTCTATATTACTCGCGAAATACAAGACCTTACTGTACAGTACTGTGTCATCTGTTTGCTTGTTTCTTTGTTACATTACCTTAACATGTCAGTTAGGCTCTTATTAAATTGTTTTTCCAGGCAAAATTACAAAGATAGATTTTTTGTTTTGCTTATTTTAATGAAGATACTGTACTGTATATGATCTATGTTCAAGGTACTCCTAGGGCTGAATGAGCTACGAAAAAATGGTCACTTCTGTGATGTGACCTTGTGTGTGGATGGAATGACTTTTCCTGTCCATAGGTCTGTCTTAGCATCATTTAGTCCATACTTCCGGGTAAGTCGTTTTGCACACTACAGTATTATATTTACCTTGGTGGGTCAGGCAGTTTTAATAGTTCTGCATGAGTGACAAGAGATCAGTCTGTTAGTCAGTCAGGCTGCATAAATTAGTACGTTTGCACTGTGAAATGGAGATACAGTGGGTGCTAAACATATTTGTAAAGGTTCTTGAATTAGAGAAAAATTACAGGAGTTAGATTTGTTAAACCTTGTCCTCTTAGGTGTTGTAATCACTCTGTCAACCAGTCAGTCAGTCAGTCAGTCTGCCTCTTCATAAGCTAGTTTGTTAATTAGTTAATTTGTACATAAAACTCTGCAAACACACCACCCATCTTTGGGGTTATATTTGCTCACCTTGCACAGCTGTTCAGGAGTGAGAACTTGCAGATGATTTTAAAGCAAGCAGACAAGTGCAAATAGGCATTAGTGCCGAGTAAGTCTATTGTCCACCAGGAGGAGGTGTAACAAGTTAAACATGTGTATGGCATAAGTAACAAGATCTGTACACCACAAGCTATTGTCACTGGTAAACTAAGACTAGGACAGGTATATGGCCACTTACTAGAACAGTACAGTTTGGCTTGGATCGTGAGAGAATAGAACCTTATTGTGCAACCATACTCTGTGCACAACAGCATCACTCTTTATTGGTGGTGGTAAGATAGCTCATCTCCTGAGGTTATACTGTATCCAGATTTTGCACCAAGTTGGTAAGACAACCACTGCATTATCACTGTCAAATTACAATACAGTTAATCCTTGCTTCATACACCCTCTTTACTGGTTGACAATCTCATCCTAAAGAAGTTATAAGGTAGTGGAGAACTTGACACTAATTAGTCATATTGATTTTTTGATAACTAATACTGTACTGTATGATAAGAAATACAGCATCATGAAGTAGGATTGAAATAAGTTACCAAGTATATTATAGTTGTAGCTCATTCTGTTATCTGTATCTGAGAATTTCAAAGTCAAAAATTGGTAATGTTCTCTACCTAATTGTTTTATTAAGCACTACTTACTGAGTAGGTCTTTGCTACCAGGTTTCTTATAGTATGATATTTTAACACATAATAATGTAATTTATTTTTACATCTTTTGCAGGCAATGTTTTTAAGTAATTTGGCAGAATCACAGCAGGAACACATTACTCTTAGTGGGGTTGATGCTACCATGGTCTCTCTACTCCTTGATTATGCCTACACCTCCACCATCATGATAACAGAAAATAATGTTCAGGTAAATGGTTGAATAATGTTTCAGAACTTGCTAATGCTATACTCTGTTTTCTTTGACTCAGGTAAATATTGTAAATAAATTATAAATTGTTGAAGTCTTTTGTGTGTTTGTTTCAGGTTAATTTTAGGAAGACAGGTGTTACAGATTGAGTCATGTGATGACACGAATGATAACTTCACTGTCAGGTTTTGTGTCACTATGCATACATTTAACCCATTCAGTGTAACCCTACATCACCAATATATTAATTCCTTTATCTGTAGTCTCGCATCATCTCTTATACCACTGTATTTTCATCTATACCTGTCATTTGGTTCATACAGTATTAGGACTATTTTTATGCCCATATGTCCACCTCTATCTACCTGTCTGTCTTTGTCAATCCAATAAAAGTTCTATTTCACACAGTTATTTAGTTTCTTCAGGCTGATTCTTGCTAGATTTAAGGTTTTTCTTATTTGTGTGAAAATGAGGGGGAGTTTTATTTTGTTTAAATTTGTTATGTGTTCTGTTCAAAAACAAACACTGACAGGTCCCTTGATCTGTAGAAATGTTTATAACGTATTAGTGATTCCTTACACACCCCAAAAAGATTTTAATGGAACTAACCTGATTTTTGCATTGATTATGTAAACTTATTTTCTAGCAGGGTTATATTGAGAAACTCCAAGGGCAAATATAATATTTTGTACCATTTGCTGGATTATAATTGTGACACATTTCACAGCCTGTGCTCTGTCAGTTTTTGTACCTATATTCTATTACCCTAAACCTTATGTATATTTGCCTCTTTCCATGATGTAGTTTCAGTAAACATGTTAGTAAATGTGGCATCTATCCATTTGTGTACTTCAGGCTCTTCTTAGTGCATCTAACTTGTTGGAAGTGGTAGCTGTAAGAGAAGCGTGTTGCCGTTTCCTGGAGCGCCACATTGATGCCACCAATTGTGTTGGGATTCATTGCTTTGCTGAGGCCCATGCTTGTCATGATCTCACCAAGAAAGCAAAAGCATACACGTTGAGGTAGGATTCTGTACAAATAGCATATACTGTACAATACTGTACTGTGTACATATTGAGGAAGGAATGGAGATACACTTACTGTTGATGGGTAGTTTACGTAATGGATTCTCATCATATTTTTGGGTTATTTGGAGTTTTGTAGTGTGTGTGATACAGGGAAGTATCTGCTAAAACAACTGACATACATAAAAGGTATCAGAGGTGGACTGGAATGAACAAAGAAAATTTAATTTATTACTGAACTCAAACAAATCATTTTATTAATTATATTACCGTACTTGAAAGTAATTTTTTTTTTTTTACTACTGAAAGAACATTTCAGACAATTATCAGTACTCCTTTGAGTTCCTTATTTTTTTGGGCTCTTGTTATTTTGTTACTTTATTCTGGGCTTGTAATCAGTCAGTGTAATATTATCTCAGCAGATCTAACTCAGTACAGGTATTGATTGCACAATGTATTCCCAACCCCAGAAGGGCTACAATGAGTAAGAAAATGCACAAAATCTGCCTTTGTTAATGTTAAATGAAAGGTATGTTTAATAAACTGACGGTATGCTGTACATAAAAAGTATGGGATATAATTCTCATTACATAGTACATTACTGTACAGGCATCACTACAATATAATGTTATAGGTGTTTAATTTTCTATCATCAAGCACATTAATGCTTCAGATCATCCAATAAGCTCATATTGTGGACCATACATTAATTTATATTTATTTTAAACATTTACAGGAACTTTCCTCGTGTGATGGGAGGTGAAGAGTGGCTCAATCTACCTATAGAGAAGGTGGTGGAAATAATATCTGCTGATGAGCTGGAGGTAGACAGGGAGGAGCATGTGTTTGATGCTGCCACTGCTTGGCTCCACCACGCCTACTCTTCAAGGGCACCCATGTTTTACAAGGTGAGGAAGGATATAAAGTACCATCACTTGCTAGAATTTATTGGCATTCATTATTTGGAAAAAGTTTATTTCTTTTATGTTTAAAAAAATTAGGTAGGTCAGTTATTCGTGTAACTATACCTAATTGTTACCTTGACCGAGTGAGTCTTGTTTCGTAAATGAAAATTAAATTTATTGCATTTACAGCTTGTATGTTTTTATCATGTACATTTGAGAGTCTGATAATATATTTACAGTAATACCCCAATTTACGCGGTCAATTGAACCCACAGAGGTCCGTGTAAAACGAGAAATGCGAAAATGGGATAACAGAACATATGGGATTAATTGAAATAGAGACTGGGCCGACTCCCAAACTCCACTTTTTCCGACACAATACATGTGTTCTAGTAAAAATAACATCTTAATTTTATGATGGTACGCACACACAATTAATATTTAAGAGAAATACAGTCGCCAGGTTAATGTCCATTCAAATAATGGACTCAACTCCCCCTCCTCTTCCCATGCTCGCTGGCTCCTCCCTCTCTGAGAAATGTTTGGGCGAAAACACTAGATTTTAAGGTATAGTAATAAATAATACCTCAAACTAAAGTTAGGATAATATAATTGACATTGCTGGATTCCTTGCAAGACCAGGAAAGTTTTGAATATACACGTCATATATTTTGCACAAAAGATAACATATTTGCTCTGAGTAAACAAAATTCTTACTTGATCTAAAATTTGTATGTGTAATGCAAAATCTATGATGTTTATATTAAGAATGATCATCAAATTGTAAGAATTCCAGCAATGTAAATTATATTCTGGCCGGGTAATTTGTATGAATTTGATGAGCTAAATAAAAAAATTATACTTCACCCGCGTATATAAGTAGATGCACCGCGTAAAGTGGGAATTCCGGTTCTGGCAGGGTACCGCGTAAAAAAAAAACGCGTAAAACGGGGTATTACTGTATTTGTTTTTGTACCCCTCAAAAACACTAGGGTTGGTCAAGAACCCATAACTGTACTGTACACCAACACAGTAGCACCTCTCTAACCGGGACCTCCCATACCTTGGAACGTCCATTGGCCGCAACGGAGAAAATCTGACTAAATTTTTTACGTCATGTGCCCAACATCATTCCATAAGACTTCTTCCTTAAGGGGTATGTCAAAGGCTGTGTATTATACAGTTGGCCACAGTGATGTCAGACACATTTTTATGGACCAAGGAGGTATTTGGCATCTCCTCTATAGTAAACAAACAGGACATAGTATTACCTGGCTGAACCACTTACGCTGAATGATTTAGTTTGTAACAGAGGTAGAAATAGGCAGACGCAAGTTAAGATATATGAATTTTGTTCATTCACAAGAGAGACAAACAGACAGACAGACACTACATACTCCAATATTACTGCAGGAGAGATGCCAGATGTTTCCATCAGCCACAATAATGTGTCAGACTTTCCCTGTGGCCAACTATACACGTTTAACAAACATCACTGAACTATGAGCCAGGATAATGGACTGTGGATTGTTGCAGCAAATGAGGACTGAATTGAAATATCAGTTCCAAATTCTGAGAGCTTCTAACGGTGCATATGTAGAAGTTTGCTGCAGTTACTGTACGTGCCAAGATTTTTTTTTTGTGTGCTACAAGACAATACAAGATGCATGTTTGTATGTACCAATGTGTTAGTTTTTCTTTTATAGACATTTAATAAGGAACACCCTGTGGCTCTATCTCTGAAAATCCACCATACATACAGTAGTGTGAGAACTGCCAGAGTTAGCCCAAGGTAGTGAGATGCTCCTGTTATTGTTTATTTAACCTTATTAGAAAACACAATGTCGAGAGGTTTAAAGAAATTATTAGTTAATATTTCAATTTGGATATTTATCATCTGAACAAAAGTAAAAATGCTGCTTGGAAGGTTTACAAGTGGTTGATATATATGTTGAGATACTGGCTGCTATAGATACCGTCTTCTGGCACATTATGTTTTATAAAAGCATCAGCATAAAGCCTCACTCATGAGTACCAATGCTATATAAGAGGGTGAAGGCAGAAGTATTTACATTGGAAATTTTTTCTCACACAGGCCTTGGAGTGCATTAGACTGGCACTTGTTAGTCCGTATTTTTTAGTGGATGTTGTGGAAGGAGAAATGGCCGTGAGGTCATCACCAGAGTGCCGCTTGATTGTGGAGGAAGCCAGGCTGTACCATCTCCTTCCCGACCGACGTCACCAGCTAACGTCTCCACGCACCCGCCACAGACGCAACACAAACACAACAACAGTCAGTTGCCTTCTGACAACCATAATGGTGTTTAGGGAATGGACCCTATAATTAAAGATTTTGGAATGTTCTCAAAAAAAATCCATGTTTCTTTTGTCAAACTTTATAGAGTTTTGCTCAGTATTATATGGTGCTGCTGTGCATATTTGAATAATGGTACTGTACTCACATTAATTGATTACATGTATAGTATTTATATCTTAATCATTAGTGCACAAGATATCTTAGGTGTTAAAATTGAAATACAGGTACAAAGGTTTTAAAATGATAACAATTATAAGTGGATCTCTGGATCAATGAACGTTATTATGTCACCAAATCTTATAGAATGTGAGGGCACACAGTTAAGAAAGAATGAGCGCATATTTATATCACTCACATATTAAATTTGACTCCTAACCCAATAGATATGGTTTTGGTTAATGGTTAAGCAGAGTTTTGTTGATATTCACTGCTATACAAGGGCCCTAGACTAAGTTAATTAGGGTTACCATCTTATGCAGCTGTAGCTTCTAGATTGACATTGAGTTGATGGCCAGACGCCTTCACTAAGTGGCTCTGTGATATGGTTTCAATAAGTCATTGGTTTAGGACCCAGGAGACCTAGACATTGGTGGCTGGGACAAAGTCTAAGTGAGGAGTAAACCTCTCCTAAAGTAACTATAGTGTCCAGTATGTAGTCTTAAAAAGGGACTGCACATGTTGCCTCTCCTCAGAATGTACTGTACATGTCTTCCACACTTTAATCCCCATTCATTCTCAGCCACTCATGTCAAGGTGCCCTGAACGTTAGACTGATGGACATAGTGAAGGCATATGCATGAGTTACCGAGAGATGGGCCAATCTTAAAATGGGATTTCAGAATTATTCCTCAAACTTTTTACTTTGATTTTGTCCTTCTGTTGTTGTACCTGTCATCTTTACTCTCCCAGTTTTAAACAGTGTGGAAGAAGGGGTACAAAACCTCAAAGAAAGAGGGGAAAATGATAAGGGAGAATGGTGCAAGACAAGTATAGAAAATGATAGGAAAGGGGTAAGACAACAAGTAGAAAACCTACACACACACACACACACACACACACGTTAATATCCTCAGCATGCATACACAGTACAGTATACAAAGTTAATACTTAGCCCCCACATTTGTTATGAATGCATCATACCAGTTAATTGCGCATACTAAGTTTAGTTGTCTAACAGTAAAATAGTTTTGATCCAACAAATTTTTCTTCCTACTTAAACCTGCAATTTTCTTCTAATACTCACTCCAAAAGCTGTTGTTGATTTTATTCTTCTTATTGTTGCATGAGGTAAATGTAACACTCACATAGCACTACCTTACTTTCTTTGTATATAACAACTAACATTCTAGAATTCATGTGCCTGTACAAAAACTTTCATATTATTCTATATTCACTAACATTCCCTTTCTGTATTCCCAGCAACATCAGGCTAACCAGACCTTGCATCAATTATCTCATCTTCTGAAAAATTCATACTAACTTTAAGTGTTATTTCATTTATTGTATTTCCAGGTCACTCTTTCTAATCCTCTTCTCTCATCTTTAATGCCTCACTCCTCCAGGGGCTGGCCACAACACTAGAGCTCTCAAGCTACTCATTCACTTATTATCTCCTTTGCTCTGCCTATTCCTGTAATTCCCTCTGCTCTCTTCTCACTTTATTTGTTCCACTTTTCCCTCCCAAGATCTAGGCAGTCTCCCTCTACCAGTGCACTCTACTGTACTATGTTATCCTGTATTCTTGTCACATGTTCACACCATCTCAATGGACCTGTCTTCATCAGCTCCCCCTCCCCCTCCATAATTTGCTGTATCTGCCCCCTCTGCTGCCCCAAGCACCTTCCATACACTTCATTATTTCTTACCACTTCCCCTCTAATGACCGCAGATGCAGCCCTCAGGTGACTTATCACTATAGCTTGAATTTTAGAGCTTTCTGCTTCATTACAAGTCCATGTTTCACTACCATAAGTTGAGGTAAGAAGTATTATATGTACTTCTTTCAAGTTCCTTCTTTATGTCCAGACTTATATTAATCCACATGATGATACTTCCCAGTTCCATCACTCTCCTCCTTTGAAAAATTTTCTATCCATCAAACCATTTTTACTTGAATATCATTAACATCGTCAATGTCGTCATCAATAATATAAATTTTTACCCTCCATTAGAATTTCAGTCTGTCTGAATTTTACATTTTGATGGGCAAAATTTTTCTTATTAAATATGGTTTAGTTACAAGAATCAGTCAAATTCCTTCCCTTCAAAAATCTTTCTCTCCCTGGCATTTACTTTCAGTTTCATTCTAGTACACATCTTTCCAAACTTATTCACCACACTTTTGGCCTTTCCTTTTCTCTCTCTCTCTCTGTAAAAAGGATTGCATCATCCACAAAAGACACTTGTTAGCAAAGGCTACATCCCACCTTCCAGCTTTGTTCCTACCCCAGTCACTCTTGTTCTCATTTTCCTCACTATTCCATCCATTAGTAACCGGTATATTGAACAGCCTAGGGCAAATCACACATCACTGCCTCACTCCCTCTTCCACCTTAAAGCACTCACACATCACTGCCTCACTCCCTCTTCCACCTTAAAGCACTCACACATCACTGCCTCACTCCCTCTTCCACCTTAAAGCACTCACACATCACTGCCTCACTCTTCATTTGTATATTTTTTTATTGTTTTTAACATCATATGTTTTGTCTCTATTAACTAATTCCAAGGGTACATTGTGATATATTTTTATCTTGAAACTTTCAATAGTCTTTCCCTGTCATCCAAAACTTAAACTACAAATAATTTTGTAATCTTTTCTGTATTAATCCCTTCTAACTAATTTGTACCTTTGTCACTAGGTTTCAGTTCAAATGGGCCTCAGTCCAACTAGACACCAACTTATCCCAACTTAACCAAACTACCTGTAGTAGGATTGGGGACCTATGAGGACTATGCCTCATCTGTAAAGGTTCAGTTAGATTTTGTTATAACTGATTTGACTAGGGATCTGGTCACTATACTCAATTTCTCATTCTGATGAGAATTCTTTGCTGATTTGCAGAGTTCCAAGTTTTTAATATTCCATTTTGCTTCACATAACATAGATATTCCACCTTATGCAACTCAGAATATTTAGAGTTATATTAAATATGTATGTCATCGTCAGGTGATAGTGGCAGTGGGCGGTGAGGACAACAAATTAGTTCTACGATCAGTGGAATGTTTTGATCCACTGGCACATTGTTGGAGGAGCCTCTCATGTCTGCCTTTTGCTGTCAGGTGTGTGTGGGCTCATAGATGAACCTTATAATAATCATCGTGCATGTAGAGTTGGTAAAAGCACACAGTTATTGTATTAAATTGATATTTTGCATTAGCATTCACTAAAAACTGGCTGCATCATAAGGTTGTGTTCATGCACCCCTTATTGTATAGCTTATTGTATTCGAGTTTGTTTTTAGTTAAAGGGGAAAGTTAGTTTGGTTCATCAGCAGTGTATCCACCCTCTACCCCCCTTTATTGTGTAAAATACTCTTAAGTTCTGTAATCAAACTACAGAATGTTTTATTTACTTACTACAACACAAGAAACTGTTAAAATACAGATGATAACTGTATTGGATAAATATGCTTTTGGATACTGTGATGTCAGTAGTTCAACTAAGCATGGCACCTGGCAGCCTGGCAAAATGACTCAGTGCCGTGGTGAATATTTTGGTATAATGTCTTGGCAGACGTTATAACATATACTGTACATATTTCCAATATAGTCATGTGATAGCTTGTACTAAAAAAGGACAGATATTTATCAAACATATGACAAATAAGTGAAAATAGGAAAAAACAATTTGTACCAGTGTCACAAAGCTATTTTCTTTAAAATAGTAGTACAGTATCATTACCAATTGTAGTACAATACTAATATAAAAACACACAAGAGGTCTTACATTAACTTACCATACAGAGAGAGAGAGAGAGAATATGTTTATCTCTAGATCAGTATTATTTAGGTAGCAGCAGCAGAAGTGATGGTATTTAGTGGTATTAAGCCTCAAAGTATTAAAAACAGCACTGTATGGTTTATTCTGAGCATCCCAAGTCAGGTGTGTGGATAATTCCTATTCCTAAAGTTTTGTCACTTCTGACCAGCTGATTACAACATGTAAGCTTTGGTCACTGGGTGAACTGCAGCTTACTGGCCCAACTCGCTGTTTCTGTTTGTTTTTATCCTTTTATGTTATATTCTATTTTGCTTATCTTTTTTGTTTATTTGTGCAGTAATAGCCAGTCTTTATTTGTTTGTGTAGTGTTGTATGCTGATGACTTAATGCTGATAGTAGATAATATTGAAGAGTCAGTGGAGAAATTTAACGAATGGAGGGATGGAATGGAGTCAGAGTGCTTGAGAGTGAATGTGATGAAAACAAAGGTATTGATTAGTAGTGTGGGTGAGGGACCTTTGATGGAAAGTGGAAAACTGCCATGTGCTATCTGTAAGAAAGGCATTGGCAATGACTATAATGTGCAGTGTAGTGAAGCAGATAGTGGACTGCTGGGATGTTGCTAACTTTGAGGGTCCTGTATGCATAGGTAATTGTGTGGCCTTAACAAGGCAGGAGAAACTCAACATTGGGAATATATCCTTGAACAGTGTCAGTGAGTTCTGCTACCTGTGTAGCATGAACAGTGCTGGAGGGGTGCTGAAACTGGCTCATTTGCAAGAGTCAAAAGTGACTGGAGGAAGTTGCTGCCTTTATTATCAGCAAGAGAATCTTTCCTCTACATTTTTTGTAGAGGTAGACTGAGGTGGATTGGGCATGTGGAGAGAATGAAGGAGACCAACTGGGTCAAGTGATGCACGAGTAAGTGTGGACGGGAGGAGAGCCAGGAGCAGGCCCGTAATGACATGGGGGGGAGGTTGTAAAAAATAACATTAGTTAAGAACCCGATGGGACAGGCTGCAAGAGACCGCACAGCAAGGTAAGCTGCCATTAGCTAATTGCGGCTGATCCACGAAAGTATGGAAAATGGTCGTAAAATGTTGATGTTGATGATGATGCTAGACACTTCACCAAGGCTTGTCAAAGGCAATGATGACATGAGAGGAATGTTAAGATTTAGAAAACTCTTTGTTTGTTCATGTTGTATGAGGCACACTTCAGCATATGAAAGTAGAACAAATCAGCACTAAAATAGATTTCTATAATACGATTTGTTTTAAGACAATGTGGATAATGATACTGTACTACACATTTATTTCAGCAAGCACGGCCTGGTAGTGTCTGGGGAAAATGTCTTATACCTGGCTGGAGGAGAGTTTCCTGATGGTACAGTGACTCGGTGTTTGTGGCGCTATGACCCTGTGTTAGATGAGTGGCACGACTTGGCTCCCATGTCTAAGCCAAGGTCAGAACTAGGTGAGTTGTATAGCTTTTTGTGGTGTTGTGATAAGTTATTTAAAACATTACCTCTGTCCCAGTGACTCATCCTTACACACCATCAAATGAATCTGTATTATCCAAATGTTGTACAATACAGGTAAACCACAATTTATGAGGATTTTAAGTTATGAATAAAAACCCTGAATTTATGAAAAGAATTTGTATTAGTAATAATGAAAATATCTGTCTGCTAAAGTGATGTTTTTCCATTATTATATTTTTTACAAGTGTGCAAACTTATTCCATTGTTCTCTAACACACGTGCTGTTGAGACGTGACCGATCGCCCAAGCTGCTAGCGAGCCGATCAGTGGTGAAGAGGATAAAAGTAAAAGTAAAAGTAATTAAGTCTACAAATAAGCTATCGGTGTGTCATCATTTTCCTACAATTAAGAAATAACTTAATCCCTTATTTGTCAAACTTGAGTGAAGGCAAGTAGACTTGTCACTCACACCACCACCACACAGTCACTGAGCCAGTTGCCTGATTGACCAATTTCTCATTTACTCTCATGTAATGTGTGGAAATTGAAAAAAAAAAATCTTTATTTTTAACCTTCATATGTTAATTATGTTCAATAAAGGAGTAGAGTTATAAGAGAAAGTGCAGAATTTGGAAATGTTTGCAGGTGTGGATACTGCCGGCAACTCACAAGGGAGTCAGCTTCATATCCTTGCAAAGTTCTTAATATTTATTTCTTTTACTGTATTTTTGACACTTAGGGAAGTGTGAGACTGAGCCATACAGTCCTACATTATTGTTAAGGGTATTCTAAACTTCATTTATTTTGGCTTGCAAGATTTTTTTTGTGCGGTAATGACTTAGTTTGGTGATTCAACTAGCGAGTTGATTTGTGGGCCGGAACTACCCAACTGTGGTAAGAGGGAACTGATTCTACAGTATGCATGCATACTTGAGATGACTGTCTAAGCTGTCAGATTAACGCAACTGGCCTGATACAAAAGATTCAGAATAGCTGACTACAGTTCAGAAGCAAGAGTGTGCACAGCTACAATAATGTAATGTCACAAACAATTAACCATCATCCTTCAGTGGCAACATTTCCCTCTCAGTATCTCTTTAAGGGATGTGGCAGTACTGTAGTGGTAAGGTGTAACTAGTCAGTGAATTAGTCCAAGTCTTCATAATGGAGGGTTTGTTTAGTTTCAAACCTGAATATTTTATGATGACATGCATAGGTTGTCCAGTCCAGACTCGGTTATGAAATGGGATTTCCACAATCACTTCATCATTTTGACAACTGGAAAGTAATTTTTCTGCTATGATCACAATTTGTTCAAACTTCTCATGGTTATAAATTATATATTTTGGCATGTACTATTTCATAGTCTATGTGTTTCCTGTACATAAGATGGTACCTCTCCAGGGGTAATACAACTGAATTTTATCCTTGATCCTGGGAAGTATTGTAAATTTGTGTATGTTTTGTTTTTTGTAGGTTCAGCAACCTTAGATGGCTATGTGTATGCAGTGGGTGGTTGGGATGGATCTAACAGATTAACTGATGTAGAACGTTATGATCCTCGCATCAATGCATGGAGTCCTGTAGCTTCTATGAAACTGGCCCTTACGTCACCTGCCATTGCTGCATGTCAAGGAAAGCTCTATGTTTGTGGTGGGGCCATTTTGGAAGATGGAGATGGAATTGATCTGGTGCAGGTATGTAAACATATTTATTCATCATTATCATCATTAATGTTTTATGACCATTTTCCACTTATGTAAGAAACATAACCAAATAATAAGTAAAAATATTTTTATGACTGCTGAAGTGGTAAAATTTTACATTCATAGCCTGTGCATGTGTGGAAAATACTGTACAGTAGGTATAAAACATTGATGGTGATGATAATTGATTGATACTGTGTTGTGTGAAGTGACAGATAGAACAGATACTGAAGACATTTAGGATGTTGTTGTAGAAGGGGAACACCTAAACAGGACACATCTATTATAGTGGTAGAGTTTGTAGTGAGGGGTAGTGTCAGGACAACCAAAGGAAGGGTATGCATTCACCCACTACCCCTGTGGTTCCTCTGATGTAGTGTACAGTATTTTGGCATGACTGGTTGTTAATTTTCACTGCTCTATACAACAGAGACTGGGCTAGATAATGCATATTCATGTGCCAAGCTCAGGTGTGTGTGTGTGTGTGTGTGTGTGTGCTTGTGTATGTGTAGCTGAGGCACATGTGGTTGTATTAAAAAAATAGGTAATTATTTTGTTCAAATTTTCTAATAGTTAGGTTAATTAGGTTTGAAGCAGTAAAGTTTCACTGTAATGTTAGATAAAAAATTTATTTTGATGCATTTCCCACATTGTCTTTAGAAAATAGGAATACAGTTCGTGTTATATTTTTCAAGTTAATGTTAATTTTTTCCATGTTGTAGATGTATGACCCACACACGGACTCCTGGGAGCAGCTTCCTCCAATGATTATTCCCCGGAGTGGTTCAGCATCAGCTGTACTTCATGGTCTCATCTACATCATAGGTCAGATATTACTGTTGGGGCACATATGCAGAACTACTGTACTATATAAGTGAAAGTTTGGACAAAGGAGTGCAGTATATTAAACAGTAGAGTACAGTATATATTTAAGAGATGGACAGTAGAAGAGAGAGAGAGAGAAAGGAGGAGTACAATACAAGATACTGTACACTGGAACAGAGAAGTGTGTCACCCAGAAAGCTTCAAGGAGATGATATTCTGTGCATCGTGACCTGAAAGTGAAAAACCATACAGTACAGTATAAGAAGTGAATTTATCACTAAAACTGTGTCAGCTTTATATAGTACAGGTAGTTCATATAAATATGCAGTCTCCTATTATTGATATACAGTACTGTATAGCGGTCTCTTGTACAGTCGTTAATTATGGTTAAATTTCAGCAATATATTGTACACTCGCATCAAAAAGTATCGGTGCAGGGTGAGATCGACGAGTAAACGATACGTATACACTGTGATATGTCGGGAAGGTTGGTAAGTGTATCCTCATAACCCCCTCCACTCGGTGTTGCCATATGGCTGACAATCAGGGCTTCCAACATACGGCTGGAACTTCTCGCCTTTCTCAATACCTATCGTCACTGGTCTCAAATTGTTCACACTACAGTATGCACGGATACTTTTTGTTGCGAGTGTACATAATGATAAAAAGTTGTCTTGGTAACCAGAAGTTTATCAAAAAGAAATGCATTGCTTATCACCAATAAATTTTTCTCATTGGCATAGCAAAGCTCTTCACCATATTTTATAAACCTAAATTCTTTGTCAGGAGGATGGCACGCCTCAACTGAGAATACAAATAAGGTTGAGAGATTTGATCCCAGAAACAAGACTTGGGAAACCGTGGCAAGCATGTGTGAGCGACGTTACAGACCAGGTATGGAATTTACTGATCCACTTAAATATACCGTACTTGTACTGTGTGGGCTTATAGAGCATTTATTATTGCATTTATTCCACATCTCTCCATCCATTTATTATGTGTTAGGTAACCAGTTTCCACTTAATAACCTGAAGTGTTCTGTATGAATTAATTTGCTCTCAAATTTCTGGAGTGTTTCACCTTTGGTAATTTTATTTTATTTTTTACAGTTTCAAAGTATTAAATGTGTCCTCATGGTAATGTTTTATTTAATGCGGATTTGTTACAGCTGCCCTTCTACTTATGAACAAGTTATGTTCCTGAGGGTTATTTATGAGTCCAACTTTATTTTTGTAGATACCCGTAGTACCTATAATATTGGAAAAAATAAATAAATAAAGGATAAGTAGTACAGCTTCACCCCAATAATAAATACAGCATATTACTCAACGGTATGTCTTACTAGCCTTTAATTTTGTAGGCAATTGGAAATATGAACAGATTTGTTGGTATCTGAAAGTTAGTAAGTCAAATGTTGGTAAGTAGAAGAGCTCCTGTACTGTACTGTATAGTCAGATAATACAGTGCTGTACCAAAATGATTGATTTGATACATTGTGTGTTGATAAGAGGATACTGTATTCCCACTTTAGGTATTAATTAACAGGTAATAAAGCAGTTCTACATCTTCTCATAACTACGGTGTGGCCGAGACTGTTGCACCTCAAGACGTTCCTGTCACTATGGTTCCCTTTTTCTCTTCCAGTTTATGTACTACTACAAAGTCTTCTCCCTCTATCCCCACACCCCTTGCAAAATACAGTCGCCTGCACTTACACCTAGTACAGTGGCACCTCTGTGTTTCTTTACATCATATTAAAACTCCCAGAATGGCCCTAAGGAACCTCAGAATAATAGGTAGTCAGATCTGACAAAATGCACCAGCCACTGTACCAGGTATAAGTGCAGGAGACTGTATCTCTTTTAAAACCCTTTTTACCATCTAGTCTTCACACATCCCTCTCACATGTCCTGACCATCTCGGAGCACTTCTCTTCACATACACAGATGATCCTTTAAATCTCATATGGGGTAATTTAGAGTTTATTGAAATTTTTGTAACTTTTGAGATAGAATTTAAATACAGTACCGGAAAGAAATGTAACCAAGTCCACGTTGTTTTGAAAATTTGAATGCCAGGTAAATATTTTCAGTGCATCCCAACTGACAGGGCTTTGGTGTTCCTACTGAAGTGTACCTCACATTTGTCTTGCACCTGTATTCAGTCTTCATATCAGGTCAATTGAAGATAATGATAACATTACTGTACTAAATAATACAGGAGTGGCTGTAGTGGATGGGAAGATCTATATCCTTGGAGGAGAAGATGGATGGGAGCACTTCCATGACACCATAGAGTGTTATAATCCTACTCCAGATACCTGGACGCATGTTGGAGAGATGCTGACAGGCCGATCATGGTTATCGTGTGCACCTCTCAGGGTTAGTAAAAGTTTGCATTGTGTATCTGAATATTGTTTTCATCATTACAATTGTCATTAATGTATTTGACTTATGTTTCAGTTATAGAATGAAGATCAGTATGACTGATTATCAATTTCAGAGTTAGAGAAATGATCAGTACAATTGCTTAAGGTTTCAATTACTGTATAGAGTTATGATCTAAAGAGAGATTGTGTGTCATTGTATTTTGGTGGTTTGTTGTTGCCAAATTATGATCTGACACATTTGTATTATTTCTAACCTAGTGTCAGTCTAGGTAACTCTGTGTATACAGCAACTCAGTGGGCATGGGCATCCTCTGGGGGAGGGGAAGGCAAGCTTGTGTCAAGGAAAAACGGTGTCTGGTTGGGTCAAGATTAATGCAGTATTTTTTCCGAATTCAGACAAGTAGGTGTGTTATGTTAGGTCTGGGTAGGTTGGGTCAGTTACCTCAGGTAGCTGAGTTTAAGACTCTCCTTTCCTAGGCTCAGCAGTTGTTTTTTTTTTTATGGGAATTAGCCCACCCAGGCACTGGGTGTTAATGATTATTCCAGCTTTTACTCAGTAGGGTGTGATCATCAACTACAGTAGTGGCAGGTCTTCTGGGGTTCTTATTGCAGTTGAGAGTCATGTCCCTCTTATGAGTCATACTGTACTTTGTCTCTTAAAGATGAAATGTTTTCAGAGTTTGAATTTCAAGTTTGAGTTTGTTAAAGGGATCACAGTAGGTAATACACTGAGGTTGGAGGCCCAGAGTTGGTTAACCTCAGATATATGTGTTGAAGAAAGAGGTTTTGGTGGAGGCAGGGGCAGATCCAGGGGGGTGGTCCTGAGGACCGAGCCCCTCCCCTTTTCATCAGAAAATTCCTATGCTTTTTCTTTAATGCAATATTGTACTCAGGCATTTTTGTACAGTAAAGAGTAATTACTATTGACCTCAGATTATCTCCTAATATCAAGTGCACATGGCTTCAAAATGCCCATGATATTGGTCAGATTAAAAAAAAAAAATGGCAGACTTGCACCTTCCCCCCAAACCCCACAGCTGGATGGGCCGTTGTGCTCGCCATGTTGCCCCACCCACAACTTCTTGGGCCTGACCCCTTTTTTGATATTCCTGGATGTGCCCCTGGGAAGTAGTAGTATTTGGAGATATTTGTAAGAAACATATGAATATATTCCAGACTTGTTGACTCAGGAGAGTTAAGCGGCATGTTGTTAGAAGGTGCCTACAGATCTGTGTAGCCCCAAGGGGTATGTATCAAGACCTGAAGGTTGTTTATATACCAGAGATATGACTTAGAAATGTTAATAAAAAGGTAAGTGTCACTTTGTAGGTATAAGTGTTAGTTGAACTTCTTTTCTTCATAGTCTGATAGTTCCCCATATGCTTTTTTTCCAGATTAAAAAAGAGATTTTAGGTGACTTGGCAACACCTCTCTCTTGACATCCACGAGCCTCCACCAATCAGGCACGACAGACGTTCTGGAAGTAACCACCAGAATCAGTGCCAGTCCATGATCTTTGTCTCAAGAGGTGTAGGTATGGAAATTCTTTGGCAATATGTAAGAGAAAGGATGTATCCTTAAGATGGTAGAGAACAGGATATGGTAAAAATCTCAGTCATTATTTCTTTTTCTTCTTGGCTTTTTGTTAAAACCAGAAATGTTGATACTCATGAAATTATTAGTGTGGTCAGAAGTACAGGTGCATCTAATTCATAATGGAAGCCACAGATGTTAACTGTGATATATTACAACTGAACCAAAATTATTATCATTTGGAAATATTCTCGGGAGTGACATGTAATCTATGTGGAAAACTTAACTTAAGAGCTGGTAATTTAATTTGCAGTACAGTATTAGTATTATTGTCAGGATCATTCTGTATACCCAAATGAATATCGTGAAGAGTGTGTGATTAACGTTTACGATTCTACAAAGACTCCGAACCTGGCTGGTCAAACAAGCCTGATGTACCAACCTCATGAAAATGACCATTAAGGTAAGTTGAATCTTGTACAACTTAATATATTTGGCGGGTTAATGTGGAAGTGAGTTGCACAAAATTTTAAATTTACTTTCCTTGATTTACGGAGGATATTTATGTCACCTGTAAGTCAACAAAATCAATTAAGTAAAATGGAAAATGGTATTAGAGTGGAATTAAGAAAGGACATCAGGTATTGTTTTAGGTTATCAGCCAGAGTATCACTTGTTGTCAAACGAGGTCTCCGATGGTTTTATTTGTCGTATAGTTGTGTAATCCATGGTTAGTGTGGTGTATTTTTATGAAATATTTTCTAAGATCTAGAAGATATGCTCCTTATCTTCTCAATGAAAATAATGTTATCTCAATTTTGTGAAGGTAAATGTGTTGTACCAAAAAAAATTCTAGTCATTCATTAGGCAGCTTGTAGGTTAGTTGGCCTTGGTTGGAGCTGTAAATGTTACTCCTGTGAGAAATAAAGCATTTATCATTTCTCTCATTGATTGTTCTAATTCTGTTACTCTGTTTAGTCACATTCATACTGGCTCTTATGGTTGTTTCTTGCAAATTTTTATCTACTGTATCATATTATTATACATAGATTGCTGTTTCTCATTTTATTTATTGTTTCTCCTTAGTTATATCTTTTTTATTCTTACAGTACCTACATTTTGTGCACCTCTTATTGATGTAACCTTCACACTTGACATTTACTAATTGTTCAACCAAAAGACAACTGTGTCACTAATATGATATACTCTACAGTATTTCCCGACTCATAAGACGCTACAAGTGATAAGACTCATCCTATAATTAATAAAGTATACTTTGGAAAAACAAATTTTGTGGATTTAGTAGCCTACCATACTGGCAAGTCCAAGTCGCTGGCTATATGCTGTCATGTTTCTCACTATCACAGCTAACTATTACTTTATTGACCTATTGTTGGTATTATTAATTAAATTTATCTAATTTACTAGAAAAGGATATTATTATATAAGGACCTATGGTATACACATCAGTACAAATACTTACCGGAACCGGGCATGTTTGCTATGAATTGTCCAGCACAGGGCTTGTTTACATCCAACTACCTGTGCACCAGATCAGCTGATGTTTCAGAGTTATTTCCTTTGCCTCGTCACTACCACAGCTAACTGTCATTGTATGGACCTAATGTCAAATGTCTGTTTATATTATTTAATAACATTGCCTAAATTTATGACAGAATTGTATAATTATACAGTACGCCCTGATAATTCGCAGATTTTTATTTCGTGGTTCCCTATTATTTGCGGATGATACCCTGGATGTACCCAAGAATGTCTGTGGGTAGTTTTAAAGTTGCCGGCATTCATTTACACATCCCATTCCTGCGACTGATTGCAGGCTGTGCTTTGTCAAAATAAAAAAGTACAGTGAACCCTCACTTTACGCGGTCAATTGAACCCACGGAGGCCCGCGTAAAGTGAACAACATAACATATGGGATTAAATGAAATAGAGACCAGCTGACCCCCAAACTCCACTTTTTCCGACACAATACCTATGTTCTAGTAAAAATAACATCTTAATTTTATGATGGTACATGCACACAATTAATACTTAAGAGAAATAAAGAAATACAGTCGCCAAGTTAATGATCCATTCAAATAATGGACTCGACTCCCTCCCCCTCTTCTCACACTCGCTGGCTCTTCCCTCTCTGAGAAATGTTTGGGGGAAAACCACTAGATTTTAAGGTATAGTAATAAATAGTACCTCAAACTAAAGTTAGGATAATATAATTGACATTGCTGGATTCCTTGTAAGACCAGGAATATTTTGAATATAAATGTCATATATTTTGCACAAAAGATAACATATTTACTCAGAGTAAACAAAATACTTACATTAGGTCTAAAATTTGTATGTCTAATGCAAAATCTATGATGTTTATATTCAAAATGATCATCAAATTGTAAGAATTCCAGCAATGTAAATTATATTCTGGCCGGATAATTTGTATGAATTTTATGAGCTAAATCAAAAAATTATACTTCTCCCGCGTATATGAGTAGATGCACCGCGTAAAGTGGGAATTCCGGTTCTGGCAGGGTACCGCGTAAATGTAGAAAAGCTTAAAGTGAAACCGCGTAAAGCGAGGGTTCACTGTACAGTTTGTCGGTAATGAATTTTATTAGATATACAGTACAGTACATGTACATATGGGTTCCTGGAGTAGATACTGTACATCAAATTTCCAGAATTACCTGGTATCTACATTCCAAAAGTCTCTTTGTCCCAAAGCATATTGGACTCCTGATACTCAAGTTCAGGTATATAAAAAATTAAGGACCATACCTCAGGCACACTTATGAACTTGCAGATGTGCATCCTGTGCCAACTTAGCGTGTTTTGTTATGTAATGCACGCGCTGATTGACTTTTGCAAGATGGATGCTGTATAAGATAAAAAGATGTGATTATTATCATGACGTGAGGTTGTGTAGCATAAAGAAAGAGAAAAGTGTAAAGATAAAAGCAAGAAATACCTAAAAAATGAGAAATAGCAATCTTATTGAATGTTGTAAAGGTTTAGAGTGTGTTGCAGTGTGCTGTACTGAATAGAGCTGTTGCATGAATATGATCTGGAGTATATACATCAGTGGGAGATGGTTGGTCATTAAGATCTCTGCTGTTTTGTTTATTAATTTTATTTCCTTCATTGTAGAAATTTACTCAGATAAGGCCATAGGATTGAGCATTTGTATTTTTTGTAGACAGCTTAGAAGTAAATTGTTAAAAAGGAGTGGAGTTGTATGCAAAAAAAGGTTCTGTGATAACATATCTCACAGGATATAGTAATTCAGTCTTCACTCCATCCCTTTTCTTTTCTTCTTTACTTTTACTGTCAATAAATAATTAATAGACATTTAGCTGGAGGATTTCCCTCAGAACAAGATAGGCTGTATGTATCATGTAGCAAGTCAGGTTATTGTTTCTCCTATCATGTACCAAGTCAGGCTATTGTTTCTCCTATCGTGTACCAAACCAGGCTATTATTTCTCCTATCATGTACCAAGTCAGGCTATTATTTCTCCTATCATGTACCAAGTCAGGCTATTGTTTCTCCTATCATGTACCAAGTTAGGTTATCATTTCTTGTACTGTATTCAGGTTTAAAGGTATACTTTTACATTTGTCATAAGCACTGTTATCTTTCATAGCCATTTCTTCCCCGATGTATTTGTTGAAAGAAATCATTGAAAAGTTAATCACCAATAGGATGATGATGATAATACAGTGAATGAAATGGGTTCACATGCATAATACATGTCTTATATATGTACCAGATAGAGTAGGAAATGGTATAATTTTGATTAAACTAATGACTGCAACAAATAAAAATCTGTACACTAACCCAAGACAGATATGAAGACTTTAGTGCAAGTAATGAAATGCTTTATTGTGCTCTAACTATAAAGGTATGAAGGAGCCAGGATTAGATTACCTTCATTATATTTCAGTGTTATTATCTTAAGTTGCATTGCCCTTAACGTAATTTTTTTCAGTTTTGATTACGTAAAAAAAAAAATATTCGAGTGCTGCATTTTACATGCTTCATGCTAGTGTAATTAAGGGTAGTGCTGCATGCTTTTGAAAGTTGAATCCTTTTCTTGGGTGAAGTGAGAATGATGACAAGGATCATTTATGTGTCTCCAGCTTAAATGAATACAACAATGCACCTTATAGCTGGGTTGTGGTGGAGGCTCTAAAGAGTCTTAGTGATAATCTAAGTCGAACTTCTATAAAGTTATGGTGAGCTGCCCATTTGGAGGTTCTGTAAAGTCAGTGAGCTGCCCATTTGGAGGTTCTGTAAAGTCAGTGAGCTGCCCATTTGGAGGTTCTGTAAAGTCAGTGAGCTGCCCATTTGGAGGTTCTGTAAAGTCAGTGAGCTGCCCATTTGGAGGTTCTGTAAAGTCAGTGAGCTGCCCATTTGGAGGTTCTGTAAAGTCAGTGAGCTGCCCATTTGGAGGTTCTGGTCAGTCATTTGTGTAAAGTCAGTGAGCTGCCCATTTGGAGGTTCTGTAAAGTCAGTGAGCTGCCCATTTGGAGGTTCTGTAAAGTCAGTGAGCTGCCCATTTGGAGGTTCTGTAAAGTCAGTGAGCTGCCCATTTGGAGGAGTCAGTGAGCTGCCCATTTGGAGGTTCTGTAAAGTCAGTGAGCTGCCCATTTGGAGGTTCTGTAAAGTCAGTGAGCTGCCCATTTGGAGGTTCAGTTAAGCTCTAGCAAGCTGCTTAGGTGGAAGCTCAGTAAAGTTGGTGAGCTGTTGACACCTACTGTAAATACTGTAAAGGTCTTCTTTTTTTTATTCACATATGTTTTTATCTGCTTCTAATTTATATGAATAAGTTTATTAAGTTGTATTTTGGTGAATTTTTATTATTTATTAGGTGAGTGTAGAGAGACCATCTGAGGAAGATAAAAGTCCCCCTTCATATGGAGATCATTGTATGGATCAGTGGATTATAGAAATGCATAATTTCAATATTGGGAAGCAAGTGGTTTCTATGTTGTTTGTCACCAGCTGGACTCTATAGCTACCCCATTCTTTTCCTTCCTCTCAGAAAAACAAGTTCACTTTATTGTTGCCTTGATTATGCCTTGAACGATGATATGCGCAATTGTTGCATTATGGTTTTCCTGTCTGCATTTGAATGTTTATGCGCAAGTATTGATTATATGGGTTCCGAGCCACACTACCACATTTATTGTGAATAAAAATATTTTTAACTCAAACTAATCTTTTACTTTTTACTTTTATCCTCTTCACCACTGATCGGCTCGTTAGCCGCTTGGGCGGTCGGTCACGTCTCTGTTACACACTGTTGGCAAGTACTGGGCATGCACTGGCTCCTGAATATATTGGAACCTGCTCCAGTGTTGGTCAAGTTTGCCCTTGAATGAACTCACACTTGGTGCCATCACAACACTGTATGACAGATTGTTCAATGAGTTTACAACTCTCACTCCGAAAAAGTTTGCCCTCACAGTTTTCTGGACTTGTGGCTTCGTCAACCTTGAGCTGTGACCCCTTGTCGGGCGGAAGTCCAGCTCCAGTTTTGATTTTTTTTTAATTTCAAAATTCTGCCAAATGGGTGGTCACCCAAAATTCTCAGGTGACAGTTCCTGCAGGGTTAAAGTTGCTAAAGAATATTAATAGGATAACTGTGATAACTATCAAGAGTTTGATTGAAAAAGAGTATTAGAGACAATAATAAAAAGTTAAAATTAATCCTTTTGTAGTGATTACTTGAAAATTTTTGGTGGTCACCCAGACAATGGATTTTTGGGTGAGGGCAACAATCAGCATCTTTTCTATTCTCCATCCAGCTTGATATTTAGCAGTTCTTCATTTATTTGTAGAAAAAATATTTAAAGAAGCCACTCAGAAAACTGTCAGGGCAAACTTTTTTGGAGTAAAAGTTGTGATGTCTTGAAACAAACTGCCAGGGAGATTTGTGATGGCACTAAGTGTGAGCTCATTCAAGACCAGGGCCCAGATTCACTAACACTGCTGAGATATGAAGTTAGTAAGTTCCAGGAGATCTGAAGTCCATACGAAGTCTCGCAAGTGCGATTCACTAAAGGTTCATACCTGACCAACACTGGCACAAATACATATACATGCTGGAGCCAGTACTTGCCAACAGTGCATAACAGAAATGTGACAGACAACCCAAGTGGCTAACAGGCCAGTCAATGGCAGAAAGGATAAATTAAGGAAGTGAGAGAACACAAATGTTTAAAGGGGTAACTTATAATCTTTGGCATAGTGTTGATTATTGATAATTACTCACTTACAGTACTATACTTATTTTATATTTTCAAGTGTCCAATCACTGTTAGCCTCAGAATTACCAAGCTGGCTTAGGATCCAAATAATTGCGTCTAATTTTTCAGAATGTTCTTTAACATTACAAAATGCAAGACCCTACACATATGATAAACCAAACCTAATCACAACTATTCTGTTAATAACACTTTCCTGGATATTGGCAATAGGGAGAAAGATCTTGGCATTGTGATAGATCAGTCACTGATGGTGGCACAACAAGTGGGGGCAGCAGTGAGAAAAGCAAACCAAGATTTGTGAATTATAAAGGGTACCTTTGAATACCAAGATCGGAAAATGCTCCTTCAGCCGTAAAAATCTCACGTACATCCCAGTCTGGATTACTATTATGTATATACAGGCATGGAAACTTCCAGAAAGAT